CAGCACTCTCTCTCAGCAGTCTTCCGTTCGACATTACAACGTCATGCAAGCTAAATTCGCATATTTATAGTCTGTAGCACCTTACGCATCCTTACATCTGTCACGAGGTGCTCGTGTCATGCCTTTTGTACCGTTGCGAAGAATGTCGGAAATAGGGTAGACGGTACGCGCAAGCGAAAATGTATGCGTTCTTGAGAAGCCGTAACGCTATCGCGCCGCGAGAGAGAGAGAGAGAGAGAGAGAGAGAGAGAGAGACGCGCGGGAAACCTCATTAAGAATCCTTCAAATGCTTTAGACGCTACATCGACATAATCAAGAGACACAGTAATGAGACAGAAAGTGTATCTATCTGAACCATCGAGTTGAGCAGTGGTTATATCTAAAAACCTACTAACTAAGCGAATAAAATTTTTGATAAGCTCAATCGATTGTTCAATCATATTACATAATAAAAGTGTCATTTTTTTTCTACATTAATTCTTAACCTTTAGAAGACGGGCAGGTTTTTTCATGACTTTTTATGATTTTTATTTATAACTTTCATATATATGAAAAGTGTTCATATATATATATATATATATATATATATTAAAGTGTTATACTACGAAAAATAAGCGACCCCAGTGGAGCCTAAAAATAGATTTCCTCTGTCCTCTAAAGGTGAAGAGAGATTTTAAATTATATATGTTAAAATTGGCTTGTTGACGCGAGACACATCGGAATCGCCTTGAAGATCCCGCGAGCCAACGCGAATATTGATAGCTTCACATTCAACGCAAATCGACTTTGTATACAGTCTTGTGACAGGCAACTTTAAAATTCTATCTCAATTATGAAAAGTTATACCGTTCTCCATGAATTAATAAAAAACAATTGTATAATTATATCTGTATTTTAATTATTCAAATTACCATCACTTGTTATTGCTGTCGATTATTATTATTAAATATAGTTACTCATTATCAATTATGATGCATCTTTAATTGAAGAAGAGCATCTGTAAAAAAAAAATCCTGCCACTATGTCCGGTCTGTTATCAGCACGATCGACTTTCTATAAACCGATAGTGATTATCATGCGACTTGATGGAGCGCTTCTTTCCTGAGGCTCGACATCGCTGCCTCCAAAATCCCCGTATCAATACGGACGAATAGAGGACAGCAAGTCCGTCGACTTGCAGGTGCATTCGGTGCATCCCGAGCGCCGAAATCGCGTCCATTTCCCGCCATTGTCGGACACGTTTTCCAAAGGGCCGCCACCGTCCGCGCGGCTATTGTAGTCTTGACGACAATGGACTGATGAGCCGGTATTGTTGAACTCATCGAATTCTGTTTGTACCGGATACGAACCCGGCGACGCGGCGAAGAGAAAGAGAAGGGAGAGAAGAAGGGAGAGAGAGAGAGAGAGAGAGATCATAGTTTGTGAGATTTGTACGTCTATCCAAAAATCGAGAATCAGGCTTTTTTTTTCAACGATGAATCGGCTCGGAGTAGTCTCGTATACGTTGGGCAAACAAACTCGCCTCGTCGCGTCCGACATCAGCAGCATCCGGATCCGTAATCCCGGGGGATTAACTCGAGACCGGAGCGAACGAGTATTTTCTTGACGGGACGAGAGTTGAGATTCTCCTGGCTCGCGGCTCCGAATATCGCGAACGTCGGACGCGGGAACGCATGAGATACCGCGTCCTTCGCAATTTTCTTCGAGGAAAACGTGCGGAGCGAACCGAGAGATCTCTGCCAATAAAGCGGAGAGAGAGAATGAAAGAGAGAGAGTGGTGTATATATACTCCGTGAGAGAGAAAGCAATTATACCGGCGCGCAATGACTTTTACTGAGAGACGCGCGAACCATTGTAGCGGCTCGTGACAACATCTGGAGAAAAACAAGAACTCCGTAATTACGTACTGCAACTGTCTGCCTCTCCAGAGAAGTATTGTAGAAACGGGAACGGACGATTTCAAGTTGCGTCAAAGTAGAAATTGGCGTTGTCTTCGACGTCCGCTTTTCTCCGAAAAATTATTTAACTTATACAAAGATATATATTTTACGTTGCCGCGAAGTTTTAGCGCGCGAATTAGCAAGTCGATGCTGCATTTTTTAAATATCTGCGGTACTTACTTTTTGGGCGCACATCATCTCACACACACACACGCATTCGGAATTCATTCGCGGAACGTCTTATTTCCTTCGAGACGGATCGAAGGGTCGACACGAGGGGCGAAACGCTCCTCTCGTGGATGAATTTTACATATTCCGGATTTTCCGCGCGATTACCCCACACGGACGACGGAGAATTCCTTCTTTCCACGCGTAATTACCCGCGGCGTTGCCTGGCGCGACGCCACGTTAACGCGCGGCTCGTAATTCTACAACGGAGAAATAACAAAGCTGCATATGCGCAAGAAACGCTAATTTATCACATCACGCAGCCGCTTCCGAAGTGATAGGAGTTATAAGATAAAAGGTGTCAAAAAATAAATTATAAAATTGCGTACTAACATTAATTGTGACAATGCCGTCGCTTGCATAATAATAACTTGCATCTGTATGTATACACTCTTTCGATAAAATATTCAATTTAATAACATGAAAAATCATAGTTTTTTTCATCATTTTCCGAACGGAGATGTAATAAGACGATATTTGTAGTATTGTTTTTATCGCCAAACCATGCGATATAAAAGTTATGATAACATTTATCCGCTTCAAAATTGTTTTGTAATCTAGGGCTGCATTCCGATATTCAATGTCAGTACTGAAGATCTATATTTTTTTGTATTTTACGTCATGTATACTATAAATTTTTAGTACTGACAGCTGCTGACAGTAAATAATCGGAATGCAGCCCTAGTCTTTTGTTAGCAACCTACACAATCGACTAAACTGAATGCTAAGATTCATAATTGCAAGTTCCATAACGACTGTAAACATATTATAATGACCAGAGCTGAGAAGCGAGCGGTGCGGACATGCGAAAGCGCATGAACACAGAAAATTGCAATCGCTGAGTCATAATGGAGTTGTTCCGAGCTTTGATCAAACGAATCAGTCAGTTGTCTCGTCAAGAGCAAACCGCCATGAGTCTAGGGACGATGGTTAATGGGAGCCGTACAAAGGTTTGCCCGAAAACCGCAATATGTGGGAGTACTTGCGAGCGTATACGGGGGGGGGGGAGAGGGAGAGATTTTTCCGAGTACGCGTCGATGCGTTTCTCGTCCGCGAATAAGCAAGCAGACGAACTTTCACGGCATGCTTTCGGAGATGTGCGCAGAAAAATGTGTAATTTACAATTTATTACATCACAGAGAGAGGAACGATATTGAATAATAATATAATTTACGCTGCAACATCTTAATAATCGAATAGCTTCCAGCAAACGTGATGATAACTATTGTTCGCGGATTTTACGTGATTATTAAACATTCGCCATTTTTAATGAGTTCTTTAACAGCTATCAATTTCATCACATACAATATTTTGCGTTATATTTGTTCAACATGTTTTCAATATTACCTCGTTTGACCTCACGTGAAAGGGCCAAGATTTGCATATTGTTTTTAATTATAATTACGAGTTAATTAACGCCTCGTTTTACACGCCTCGAGCCGTAATTATTCATCCCATGATTTTCGCACACGAAAAGAAATAGCTATAAACAACACAAGTGCTGAGGAAGAACTCGTTTCACTACTATAGTGATCGCGAAATCACGCACGGCTGAGCAGAGGCGTACCCTTACTACTTACGCGTAACGTTCAAGTATCGTGAAGGATTCCTAAATCTCTTTTATTTTTTTTTTTTTAATGTTTGAACGCCACGTAATAAACTGAGTAGTATCACATTATGAAATATAAAATCAATTATATAATTATAATGAATTACATATATTTAATTCTAAAGATCAATTTTATCAGTAATTATATTATTCATCACCATTCTCTCTCTCTCTCTCTCTCTCTCTCTCTGTCTCCTTTCCTTCCTCTCTCCCTTTCTTCTTTCTGTTAAATTACAATAATATAATTGTAATAAAAGTTTCCTTTGCAAATATAAACAAATAAATCATCAGTGTCGCTATAAAGGTAAATTAATACTTAAATAACCGTCGGTTAATGGTAAGTAAAAAAAGACTATGGAAAGCCGTATGATTAGACATGCGGATATCATAAATTTGAGCAGGCGGTCGCGGAAAGCAAATCGCGAGGATATAGATCGAAAGAAGATCGAAATGCTTTATAACGTCGTAAACAAAGCCTCCTTCCCGATTTCACGATTCTCCCAGGGCGCGTCAGACGAGCTTTTTACACTCCCGCGGCGTCGTAAATCTTCGCTCTCGCATTAACGGCAACGTGAAAGCGCACTGAGAAGAGATCTCGCACGAGCGGACGCGGATAGCTCGTATTCGGCCCCAGACGTTTCCACTGTTTATATCGTCTTACGCTTTTCTCTCATATCTGATAATTTTATACAATAATCCCTTTACCCCCGACACCTGCAACCGCCTGCAGCTTGCAGCTGCGCTGTTATTCTGAATTTTCTACCGCGACATATTTTAAAACGCGATATCACGTTAAAATAACGTGCGAATAAAATATAAAATATTATGATAAACATTAATTAAATCAAAATCTTCGTGATGGTAAATGTATGGTATTGGATCCGTTTTCGTAATTTCTCGATATAAATAAGTTTTTATAATAGATTCAATATTTAAATACATTATTTGATTCGTCATTACACTGTATTTCAATACATTATGTCGCAATTATTTTGATTGATCCTAAACTGTTACTATAATTAGATTAAATCGAATATCGTCATTCTCCTACAATTTATGTCGATTGTATTACATAACGTATATATGACTGCAATGTGTGCTTCCAACATGAGGATTGTCAATCGAAGGCTTATTTATTGGACAATCCAATTTTAGGGTTATCATGACGTACACGCAAGCCGTCCACGTGTTCGCGTAAATATTTCAACGACTAATTAACTTACCTTCAAGGGTGGTCTTGTCGGATCTTTCCGCAGCTCCGCGAAACGTGCCTCGAAACTGTCGTCCCAGTATTCCCGGCTCCGCATCCATGAGGGCTGCAAGAGAAGGTAAACAACCGTTAGAAATTTCGTGGCTCAGCCCCGTATATTGCTTCGTGGCTAATAAAACGAAAACGCCGCAAAGACGTAAATTTCGCGGACGCTCGCCGCACACTTGCCGGCGCGCAGCACACAACATCGCACAGAATGAGGCAATAACGTACGTATAATATACGTATATGTTGTTATACTTTCGTTCGGTGAAGTCAGAAGTGAGTTGATGGATGCTGTGTAATTTCGCGAAGGAAAGATTAATCGATCGCAATCGCTTTTAATTTAATTGTGTTTCACGCTTATTGCTTAAATGTATACTACAAAATTGCCGCGTATATCTTTCACGAAACTTAACGAATCTGACAATTTCGCGAGTATCCAGTTTTATGTTCCGGTAAAATTTGATCTTTTATATACGCCATTTTGCAGATTTCATTATAGACACTTTATTAATTTATACGTCGCGATAATAACGCTCTTGTCGGATTACATAACGATTGAGTGGTATTTAGATCCGTTCGCGACCTCGCGTGCGTTGCTCATTTTTTTTATTACCCCGTGTTAATAACGGCTTTATCGCGGTAACAGTTTTGACGCGATACCTTGTCGATAAGGTAAACGCACGTATAGCGAAATCACGATGACGTTGACTTTACACGAAAGCCTCGCTTTCCATTGAGATTCCCTCGCGCTCTTACGACAAGCGTGGCTTTGGATAACAAGGGCTACGACTTTGTTTAATATGTAAAAGAAAGTGTTTCAGAATCTTGAACGTCTTTGCAAACACAAATGTGAAAGGATAAAATGAGAAAAATAACGATACTTTGAGAGATTGAGACATCCCACGATAAACATTTAAAAGATTTTTACAAATTAGGGCGTTCTTTAAGGTCCAATTGAAGATAAATGTCGATCTAAAAAGAAATATGCTACGTGACTTCTTATGGACTTCGGATATATTTATCGTTAAAAAGTATGAGTGATAAATGAAAGTCACTCGGCAAAAGGTTGATTTATCGCGGAATTTGTACGGGTCGGATCCGGTGGCTTCCGGAACACCCTGTAGAAATGGCAATAATACCGCCTGAATACCGTCTACGGCGCGAATGGGCTCGAGGATAGGGAAGTAATGAAGTAGAGCGAAATTGGAATTCGCGAGGAATCTGATCCGGCCGGGTTCTAAACATCGATTACGCAAGTCCGAACGCGCCGTCCGCGCTGCGTATCGGCATATAGATCGTATAGATACCACAAAATTCGAAGATTTCCAGTTTCGGCGTACCTCGTAACCGCGGAAAATCCCGAGCGGTCGTGTGCATGGCCGCAAGAGGGATATAATATAATATCAATCGGGCGATTAAATTTCAACGGCGCTACCTACTTCGTGCCTGCCAATCAAGATAACATTTTAACGGCCGGAACGCGCTGTTGCTGAAGTGACCGCAGACGCTCGAGTGAGCGCAATAGCGTGGAATCGGGTCCTACGCCGCGATAATTAATCACCCGTGCATCTCTCTCGATAGGGCAACTGTGATACGCGAAATACGAGACTCATAAATTGATGTTGTTGCGAACCGAATATCGCAAATTGCGCTAAGCGATGAAATTAAGGTAATAATCAATGATGTGCCCCAAGCATAGAGATCTCAACGTAGATTATCGAATCTACATTGTAAAATATATGCATTAATGTTACGAAATATGTATTTTTTACAATGCACGAGAGATAAAGCAATAGAGAATTTTCCTCGAAAAAAAAATAACGGAAATATTATTAAATTATTATCGATTCTTTAAAATATTGAATTTTAGTTTAATCACATCCTTTTATCATCTGATCAAAAAAATTTGTCTGCGAAATTGTCCGGCAAATTTATCTGCAGAATTTTTTGAGTTCTATGATTTTGAAAGAAAAGTTATTTGTGAATGGAAATTTATTACAAAAATTAAAATTATCACAAATATTAATAATGCAATAGTGCATAATTGTGTATTTCGTATTAAAGCCAGAAACACTATATCAAATTCTCAATTATTGTGAAATTGACGTGCAAATTTTTGATTTACACTTTATTATTCGAAAAATAATCCTTCGAAAGAATAACGTGGCAATGACACAATTATTGCATATTGAAACAAACTGAGAGCGGCCAACCGAGGGGCCGCGAATCCCGTTTTAATTTCTATCAACAGCAAGCCGAGCGAATTAATCACCATAAATCCGGGATCGACGGCGGAGATAAAGCCGAGTCAAAATTAAATCCCAAGTGAAGAGCTCGTCCATCGAGCCCAACGGACTCACCATCGAGATATATCTCCGGAAAGGTCTTCTTCCACGAGGCTCTCCGATTATCCGGCGATCGGACGAGCTTTCTTGTAACGGAGCTTATCCCGTCGACGTTAATTAAACATCGAAAAGCTTCGCTCCCTAATCCATCGACCGAGGTAGCTTCTTTCACTCGGGATTATTTATCCGGGAAAGAGAAGATATTTTCAGATCTTCTTAGATTCGTTCTCCCTTCGTCTGGTTCGTCTTGCTTCAGATCAAATCGAATCGAGGTGCTTTCTTCTTATCAGAGATCACACAAATTTGTGAATGTTTATAACAAGTTTTTAATTGAAAAATAATTCGCATTAAATATAACGTGTTTCTACATAAATTAATATTAATCGCGAATTTAACGAATTATTATGTTGATTTATATTCGTGTAAAAATTATTGAAAAAATAACTAAAAAATTTACGAGGAAAGTAATTTTTCGCAAACGATTTAAATTGGAGTATAAAATTTCGTCCTCCATTAATGCTTTGTAATTCGGCCAAACTTCGTATGGATTGATTAGAATTTTAGAACCGCTATTTTGAGATCAATTTTAATCTCAAACGCCAGTTTTAACGGGACTACAACGACGTTGGTCGATCGGGGAAAATGTTCTTTTGCTCCAATTGCAACTAACTATCCCGTCCGTCCGGCTCCCTTCCGGTACACGGGAGCGAATGAAGATGAAGCGTTTTACGGGGTATCCCGGAAGGAGAAGATATTTCCTCGGAGGATAGCGATCTTAGGAAGATGCCAGGGGGATGGGAACGAACGGACGGGTCTTAAAGGGATATCGAAGTAACGCTATCTTATCGACACAAGTCCCGCAGGAGACTCCCGGGCAACTGCGTACGGTTTTACAAGAACCACTTTAACCGTTTTAGCAGAAGCTCGTTATTTCGCCTGGAGAAGGCCGATCGGTACTTTCTTCTTCCAAGCGACTCATTTGAATCCCGACGACAACGTTTCTCGAACTCCGTCGAGAATATCGAGTCCGGATAATACATGTAGAGCAGAATTAGCTTCCTAAGATTTGCAAGTCATCCCTTGAATTTCTTAAGCGCAGGTCACTTTCGATTTCTTAATGTGGACTTAATGCTGCGAAAGCCTAACCATTCCAATAAAAAATTTTCATGCCTTCTCAACTCATAATTCTTCTAGAAGTATTTAAAGTTTTCTAATTGTAACGTCACGTTATCTTTTAACTTCAATAATGTGAGCACAGGTGTGTAACACTGCTGTTAGATAAATCTTTTTATGATATTCGACGCGCGCTATGGGGTGAATATTTTTAGACATCATCGACTTGTAATAAAAATAAACGCAACGTATTCTATGGCTTAAAAAACCAGCAAATATTTCCGAAGAGTATTATTCTGAATAGTTTCTACTGACAGTTCCGTACCTGAGACTTAAGTTTCATTAATTTTCATTCACATTAGGAACGGCGGCGTGCACGTGCTAATGTGTTTGTGGACGTGCACAACGTGTCGTCGGAGTAGTTAACAGCTGCACGGGCGATGTACGATCCGGCGGAATCGTCGAATCGATCGGGTCGAACGAACGTACCGAAATACCGCCGAGTCGATCCGTGCATTTCACGCAAAATCTACTGCACTCCACAGGCCACGAATGGAGGCCCGGAATAAGTTTGCGAACGGTGGGTAGATTGACGTCCCGCAGATACTCGACGATCGATCCGCGCGCATCCGCCGACAGTCTACTCAAAGTTGAAGCGATGGATAGGATCCGTGCAATGCATGCAGCGGCGGATTAATAGGCACACGAGGCTGTCAGCTGAGATTCTCCGAGATTCTCAAAACGCGGAAAATTCAAGTTCTAAGAGTTCAAATTTCATAATTATTAAAAAACTAACAATATGTGCGTTGTAATATATTCTCTCTTTCTCCATAAAAGTTTTCTAAATTATCAAAAAAACGAATCTTAACGATATGTAAATAAAATCGGATAAAAAGGGTACAAAATTGGCTGATTGAAACTTTTGAAGATTTTAATACACCATTGATTCTAAGAATAGTCTTGTATATATGCGAGCTTCTATGTCTGTCGCATCCTTTCCGAATCATCTTGAATGTGGCTGCACTGCGAGCGAGTTTCGTGCTGCTTTGATGCGTGTGTAAGAATTCCTTCACGCAATTTGCGGAAGTACCCCGACGTCGTTCCAACGAAATGTTATTTTCGTTCGTAAAGCCAACCGGGCACCGCTGCACCGGGCGCAGCTTTAACCTAGGCGTACTGCATTTTTGCGAGAGTAGATTACGGCAAGTGCCGCGGCTAACAGACGACCGACGCGATAAAAGCGTTTCTATCCTTAAAAACTGCACTAACTGTATATGCTGCACGGCCTGCGGCCGGCAGGTCTGTTCGTTCATTAATCTCGTTTTCCTTTTGCGCTTTGACCGCAGCACATCATCGTCACGGTCGCCGAACGATGTCGGTAATCCTATTTACGGCTTGAAAAATATGACGTGATTTTAAGCGATAAGGTGCGCGCAATTATATTCCCGATTATAAAATGATTCTTAACGCGGATAGAAATAATAGGTTCTGCGCGACACACGTAATTTTAGCTACAGATTACACCTGCTGTCCCGTTGTAGTATTATTCTTATTATAGATGTAAGCAAAGATTTATAATGCGAATGGGAAATTTATTCAGCAGCAAATTTACGAACTATATTTTGGCAGCAATATACAAGC